TTTTGTTTTTTTGTAATATTTTTTTGAGTTTCGAATTATTTTGACCAACAGATACATTTTTTACTATTTTTGTTCATGAGATTGTTTACAATGTTTGTCCTGCGGATTAGAGTTTTATTATTGATAAAATACAAATTTAAGTTATAGTATTGGTATATAAATTTGAAATGCATTAGATCGCTAATTTAAAGATAATTTTTACTTTTTCACACTTTTCATATTAAAAATATTTAAAAATCATTACAATTGGTATCTTATTTTAAATTGAAATGTATTTAAAAAATTATATTAAATAATAAAATCAAAACATTTTAAAAAATTTAGCATTAAAGTTAAACTAATTTTAAGTATAAGAAAAAACATTAAAAAATATTTAAAAAATAAAATCTAACCGGTCCACCGGTCCGGACCGAAACCCGGTGGACCGGACCGGAACCCGAATAAGGAAAAAATGAGGACCGGAGACCGGACCGAATAAGGATCGGTCCGGACCGAATAAGGATCGGTCCGGACCGGTCCGGACCGGTTTTGGCCGGGTTTCGGGTCGGTCCGGGTCCGGACCGAATAATGCACAACCCTAGGTATGATGATGTTATTTATCCGTATGATGTTGTGTGATTGTATATGCTTGATGTATTACTCTGTAAGTTGATTCAAGTACTCCCTCCGTTCCTTTAAACCCTTCCACTTTTGACTTTTGGCAAAAATAAGGAAAGTGTAATTTTGGTTGACTTTCCAATTTTGCCCTTGATGTGATGGGTAAAAGTAAGATGTGATAGTTTAGTTATTAGGGAAAAAGTTTGATGTGATAGGTAGGGTATGAAAAAGTAAGGGTAAAAATGGTTTTTTAATAGAAAGTGGAAGTGTTTTAGGGAATTCAAAAAAAATGAAAGAGGAAGAGTTTTGTGGAACGGAGGGAGTATTAGATATATATTTTCACTTAGTTGTGTGTAACCTTTGTTTTTTTGGCTACACACACATAGGAATGACTATGGATTGGATGAGCACCCTGACGGTTAGTGATGCTTGCCGAAATAGATGATTCGAAGAAGTTTTATGTCAAATTAATTATTCAATTGAACTTATTTATTTAAATTGCAAGAATGTTGGTGATGTTTTTAGAGACTATGCGATGTTTGAGTTTATTACTCCGATTAATTTATGTTTATTTAGCAACTCCGGGAGGGGCGCCCAAAGGGGCATTCATCAAGCGCATCCGCACAGGGCCCAATTTTCAAGATCGCCCATTTTATAGATTATTGTTTTGTTATTTTACAACAAACTTTACGTTTTAATTATAAAAAAACAAAACATATATTGGAAAATGTACGTGATCACTTAAGGCAAAACATTGTGAGATACAAATTCTTTCCTACTAAAAAATGTGCAAACTTTGAAGCTTGATAAATGAAAGAACGTAACTCATTCTAGTTATCATTTAATTAGACAAGGAATTCAGGTCTTACTATAAGAACATGTGCAATGGCAAGTAAAAAATGGAATGTCACACGATGACGTGGAGTATTTTTGGCCAATCAAAATCAATCACGTCACCGTGTGGCAAATAGATGGAGTGGCATGCCTTGCAGTGGCAAGTCACTCTTGTTATTATTTTTTTACACTTTTCAAATGTATTTTAATTATTAAAAATTATTTTACTTGTCTTTTTTAATAAAAATAATTCTAATCTTTTTTATTTTTTGGCAATGATAATGTTTTTTATGTCAAGTTTATATGGTACTCCATATAATTTTATTATTGTTTTTGTAAAAATACATATTATGATGTCAAGTATAAATGGTACTCCATATAATTTTGATGGATTAGGGATTTTTCCTAATCCAATATTATTTGAAGAGTACAAGAAAGCCCAATTTTATATGGTCCAAGATATAAATCAGGTTAATTATTCAAGACAGAACCAGAGATATATGGACATAAGAATATATTTGAAGTGATGTGGAGACATTTGGCGGGACCCGTGGAACACTATCACATGGAAACCACATGCTGCACATGGGCTTCACATGGACAATGTCTCCTCTTGTCTCCATCAATTATTTCTTTCTCCTCTTTAAATGCATGCTACGAAGGAGGGAAGAGAGAAGCCAATTTCCTACTAGTTCTACTATTATTCTTCATTCTTCTCCTTCTCTTAGCATGGAGCTCCATTAATGGCTCCAAGCTCCTACAGTGATATATATGTAAATTCCCCCGAGATTAATAAAAGTTCCTCCCCTTTGGCATGGCACCGCCTAAAAAGGCCCGTGGTTTTCTCCCGATTTGGGTTTCCACGTATAAATACTTTCTCTCCGCTTTATTTATTTATTTAATTTCCGGATTTTGCTATTCGGTGCGGTGCCGACCCGGTACCGATTTCATCGGGTCGGCGCCCCGAAAAAGCGGTTTCCATCAAATTTAATTATTCAAAATTATTGTAATTATCTACGGAGTATTAAATTTGGCAAAACTGCATAGGCTTGGGTAAAATGTTTAGTTTTAATACATCTGTGTGTGTATAGTTTTAGAAAAAAGGATTATAATACTTTTAAAAAGTAGGTTTATATTTTTAGTTATGAAAAAATGTTGGGTGAGAAAGAAGAATGAAAAAGCTAGCCAACTAACATGCAGTGCCATGAAAAGTGGATTGGAGGGTTACAAAAAAAAACAAAAAAAAAAACTCCTCAACAAGAAAGAAAAAGGAATGGTTTGCCTCGAGCCTGCCTCGCAAATAGGGGTGCCTCGCGCTATGCCATGCATGTCAATTTTTTCCTCACCGACCCATTGTATCCTCTTCACTCCATTAATGGCAGGGCAAGGCAATGATTTGCCATGCCATTGCATAGGCTCTAATTACTTCAAGTCCATGCATGTTATTAGTGTTCATCAATTTTTCTTTTCTTTAATAATTTTAACGTTAATTATGCGATTACTCTGTATCTAACATATTCTTGATAATGAGAAAATGTTCTTCTATATTTTTTGTATTAAAGCGATAAAGCTTAAGGATTTATAAATTGCACAAGACCTTCAAGTATTATCAATAATGATTGGGCCGCCATGAAATCCAATTCGCTAACTCTTGTTTTACTTCAACAAACACAAAAAATTCTAAATAATTTTTTTAAGGAAAAAAATGTTTATTTAAATAAGCCAAAAAAAATTAGGTGCGTGGAAACACTACTTGAGTTTTGATTTAGGTATAAAGGCCAAGTGTAGCGTAGCATATTCTTTTAGCAACAAGCACCAGTGGTCTAGTGGTAGAATAGTACCCTGCCACGGTACAGACCCGGGTTCGATTCCCTGCTGGTGCATTTCAAGGATGGTTGTGATGAAAATGCATTGGGTGATTTGGATCTCCAATTTGGCCTGAAAATAATAGGCCATAATGCGATTCTGAGCCATCCTTACTTTTTTTAATGCTCAAGCCTATTTTATACGCTCTTTTAAGATAATGGTTTAAAATTTTTTTAATTGATTAAAATAATATTCATTAATTACTAACCCATGTTTTCAGATAGACCATATAAATATGGTATCTATCCAACATTAAGGCTTTGTTTGGTAACAGCGTTTTTTAATAATAGGCCATAATGCGATTCTGAGCCA